TTGATTCAGTGGATAAAAGCTCGGGTGCACTTTTTCTTGGTAGTGTACTTTCGCATGGGTGTGCCTAAAAACAGATGGTATAATCCACCAAATTTCAAGTTTAATTTTGAAGATGATGATTAAGCAGTGGACTAAGGGTACCGTGTTCCATCCATGGCAACTGCTATAAACCCCAAACATTCATTCATGTCTTCAGTGGGAATCATTTTGAATCATTCCATCGTTCGAACGTTGGCAACAACATACCTGGAACCTCATCCAGTCGCGCCCGCCAAAATCGCCTCCTTCCAACACTTGGGATTTCCTTGCGTTTTAGGCTGACTGCTCGACAATGACACAATGGACGCATTTGTATCCTCAGTGCAAGGCCAGGTTGTCCAGGCCCTTCAATCAACTTCTCCCATGTTCAACTGTGCAGTGCCTGTTAACTAGTTAATGCCAGCTACATGCATGTGTTTACGGCTTAATGTAAGTAAGACCTGTATCCCAAATTCCTGACACATGAAGCCTCACTTGGCCTGAAACATTCCTGCACCAAGTTTCATTTCCTGAGGTCCATTTGCTCCCGCAACAAAAAACATTGGCAAAATGCAAGGATCAAAAGCCAACAAACCAAAAGGCATGCATTGCATCAGAATCGGGTTGCCTGGCAGTGAATCAGTGTGTATATGTGACATCTCTTCAAATCATTTTCTGCAAGGATCTAGCAATGTTCTGAAGTAAAACCAACAGATTCTGGTCCCCAAGCATCGTAGACATTCCACCAGAAAAGGAGGCGTGAGAAGAATTTTGACTCCCAACGTTTGGAGACACCGAATTCTTGTTTGAATAGACATGATTACGGAACATACATAGTATATCATAGTATGTATAATGCCCTGACTTGTTTCTATACAATGTGAAATCAATGATATAGGTATTAATCTGTACAGGAAGATACACACAAATCATCTCCCTGGCTTCTTCATTAAAACCCTGTTCGCTGGTTTTTCCCTTCAAGAATAACAAGACTTTGGTGCCCCAAATATCCCAAACCGCCAAGATTCCTTCTTGTTCTTCACCTGGAACACTTCAACTCCCAGTGACCCGATCGCTCGTTCCTTCCTTGCAATGCTCGTGCTGGTGCTGGTCGTGGTGGTGGCCAGAGCGATGTCCCTGGCAGCCCTCCCCGCCTGCAACGTGGCGCAACGGGGGTACCAGTTTAGCAAATGATCTCACTAATGTGGGTAAAACAATGTCAGAAACCACCCATTTAGAAATGGTTTATGCCACCTATTTATGGTGATTTGGGGGATGTTGTTTTACCCACATTGTTTGATACTGGGAACCCCCACTATGTATAGTCCCCCTATTTTAATCAGGCGAGCCTTGGCAGGATCCGTTGATCCTCGTCTCTCTGGCAGGGGATCGTTGCGAGCGTCTGTCCTGTCGCATCCCGAAAAAAAGAGACCCTTGGTACTTGGGAGTCTTAGCAATGCTAAGGGTGGATTAATAACCCCCTTACCTGACTAATTTATACTGATTTGGGACGGAGTCCCCCCAAAAAGTGACAATCTCATATCCAAATAGAAACCCCTAGGGCCTGCAAGACGTCAGGATCTGTGGGGGGGAATGCTCTGAGTAATTACAAGTGACCCATGATAATAATAGGATATGATGAGACTCATACTTAATGACTAACAACAATAGTCGACATGATAGTCACCGCCATACAATAGTAGCAAAAAACGTGTGAACTATAACATGTAATAGTAACTACTGTAGTAAAAGAATAGTGTAGAACTAGTAGTAATAATGATAGTAGTGAAAACTGACAAGAAATCGGTACCACGGAATTGAACACCAAAACACCAAATTGAACAACCAACAAGCCCGGCTGATTTTCTGATTTTCAGACCACCCAAAGCGAGGTTTTCAGAAGCGTCATTTCGACAGAGAGTAACAACTCCTAGTATCAGCAAATTTGGTGTGAGCTTCCAACATCTTCCAATCCAGCATTGCAAACCATTAAGAACATGTGGGCTCATCAGGTGCTTCCCATGTTGAAAACACTTCACTGTGAGCAATAGATGCTCCTGTTGCAGCAGCGGTGCCAGGTATTCTCATCATCCCAGCACATGGAATTGCCAGTCTCACCCCAGCGCTCATGACAACATAAGTTCCTCGGCGGGACTCTGACAAATTTCTGCCCTCATCTGGGAAACCGAGTTTTGTTTTGAGATATGGTGAAAAGAATTTTGATCAAAACAAACATGGCTGGATGCTTCTTTTACACTGGAGACTGTCATTTAGGAACTCTGCCGAATCTGAAATATCCACCATAGCAAACCCGCTCAATATTCTGCAGGGGAAATCTCCTGGCCCATCTCAGGTGATCAGAGCGAAGCCAGGTGCCATTCTTGCTGAATATCTTCGAAACATTCCCAGAACATCCCAGAACCAGGATCCAAGTCACCAATTGAAGAAGAGATCCCAGCACTGGTGACGATCGTTCTCGATATTGAAGGTTCCAGCCTAGTCACCATCCAAGCAGCGGGTTGGAACTCAACCCATTCAATCTTGGAATTGCGACCCACTGCGCATACCACACTTTCATGTTCTGCAGTACTTCCTCTTTAGGTCTTTCACTACTTTCCAGCTTTCCAGACTTTCAGGAAAGTACAAACATCAAGTGACCCTCAGCCCAGTACCTTCAACGCCAAGTTGCCATGTAAGCGGACCAGGTCTTGCTCAACGCCTCCAAAGTTCAAGAAGCTGACGCTGGAAAACCGACAAAATTTGCTACCTATTAATGGTGGTATGACCATCCCCCAATATGGGCATGTCCAACTTTTGACCATGGACCTCATCCTCGGGCCAGTCACACAGCTCCGGCTGCTCGGAAGCGGCCCGGGCTTGCAGCAGTTTGGCATGAACCTGCTCAGCTTGGGAAAACACTGGGACTGGGGAAACCATAGGGATGTGATGGTTCTAAAGTAGAATTTTGTAGAAAACCAAACACTAAATGAGGAAATCATGGGGACATAATGAGTATATCACCAGCAATATGCAATATGATAGTGTAGGCTTGCCCAAAACTTTTAAAATTTGCATCTCAATTTATGGCAACTTTAACGGGAGCCTGATTTTCCAAAACATTGGGCTTTGGAGTGGTGCCTGTTCTTTTTGGACAATACCATATGGAGGGTTGATGGGTTGTGTTGCCTGTCAGGACCACCTGACGGTGTAGATGGATTGGACGGATCCATACGTTAGATTGATTTGGATAGCGCCACCAAATGTTAGTGATACCTGGAACCAACTTTACTAAGAACTTTAGGGATCTTTGCAGTACCAAAAATAGTCCATCGATTGTTTGGGAACATGAAGCCGAAGCTCTGAATGGAATCTGATCTCACGCATTTTCTTGAAGTCTTGCGAAGCACTTTTTGGAGGTGCACACAAACCTCCGCAGGCCTGATACATTTCCTCCGCATGGAGGGGATGAATCAGGATCGTACAGGTGCCTTTCGTGTTGAGCCTCGGCGAAACCCGGCTGCAGCACTACACTTGGGGATGCCCTGTTTGAAGCAAATATGTCGACCCAAATCATATCAAATATCATACAGTATATCATCAAATCATTATCCATGCAACGTTTCGAAGTATTCAACTTGGGGTTTCCATCTCACTGCTCGCGGAACCAAATAGCCAAGAGACAAATCTCCACCGGAACTTCCAGTGATCACAGCAGCAAAGTTTCGGCTCGGCATCTCCTACAGAACCAGCGAAAATCAATGTCAACCCTTTCGGAAACATGGATTAGATGTGAATAAGTATATATATATATATACATATAAGCGAGGCGGGATACACAGAATACAGAATCGATAATTTCAGCCTCAAAAAACATCTTCCGGAATCGGAGAAAAAAACGTTACTTAGACTAAAAACATCTTCCGAAATCGAAAAAAACAACCATACTGCTGTACTTAGAATATGAAAACACAATCTTAAAAACCTGTAGAATATTCATTTTGGATTCTGGAAGATGCTCTTTGCCAGGTTTTTGATTTTTACCTTAATTCAGTGCCCGGGAACCACCAATAATAGCTGTGGAGGGGTGCCAACTGCCTTTTTTTTCATTGCCTTAAATTTGGCAACTCCTGGAGGGGACCCTTTTGTGAACTTCAAACGGCATTCTTGTAATGTAAAGTGTAGTTGTCAAGACCATGTCAATTTGGGAAACCTATTTCTTTCCACAATTCAGATCCAAAAGTTATTGACGGAAGGTTTTTTTCAGGGTGTTCGCGTGTATTCTCTTCTCTTCCTACCCTTGCTTTTCCTTTTATCTTGGATGCTTGTTTGGGCTGCCATCAGCTATCAGCTGCAGAAACCCACACATAGAATATGGACGAACATCATACATTTGTCAATACCATGATTGCCTGGAATTTGGCAACTTGTGGGTTTTTTTTGATGTAAAGTGTAGTCAAAAACTTGTCAGTTTGGGATACCATGGGAAACCCATTTCTTTTCACAATTCAGATCCAAAAGTTATTGACGATTGTTTTTTTTCAGGTATCCGCTGGCATTCTCTTCTCTTCCTCCCCTTGCTTTTCCTTTTCTCTTGGATTTTTCTTTGGGCTGCCATCAGTTATCAGCTGCAGAAACCCATACATAGAATATGGATGAGCATCTTTTATGTCTCAATCGGCAACTGGGGGGGCCCTATAGTGAACCTCAAACTGCATTTTCTAATGTAGTGTAGTAAAAAACTGATCAATTTCGAAAACCCCTTTCTGTCCAAAATTCAGATCCAAATGTGATTGACGTTTTCTTTTTCTGACAGTGTCCGCCAATGTCTGTTCTCTTCCTACCATTCTTCGAAACCTTACTTTTCCTTTTTTCTTTGATGCTTGTTTGGGCTGCTATCAGTTATCAGCGAACATTGTACAGTTATCAATGATTGCCTTAAATGTGGCAACTCGTCGGGGGACCCTTTTGTGAGCTACAAACTGCATTCGTGTAATGCAAAGTGCAGTCAAAACTGGTCAATTTGGGAAACCTATTTCTTTCCACCAATTCTGATCCAAAAGTTATTGACATGTTCTTTGTTTTGCATGTGTCCGCTTGTATTTATCTTCTCTTCCTACCCTTGCTTTTTCTTTTTTCTGAGATGTTTGTTTTGGTTGCCATCAGTTATCAGCTGCAGAAGCCCGAATATAGATGAACATGGTACATTTGTCAATACAATGATTGCCTGAAATTTGGCAACTCGTGGAGGGGACCCTTTAGTGAACTTCAAATTGCCTTCTTTAGTTTAGTTCTTTAGTTTGGAATGTAGTCAACAACTGATCAATTTGGGAAACCCATGTCTTTCCACAATCCTGATCCAAAAATTATTGACGTATTGTTTCTTTTTAGGGTGTCCGCTTGCTTCTCTTCTCTTCCTCCCCTTTCTTTTCCTTTTTCTTAGATGTTCGTTTGGGCTGCCATCAGTTATCAGCTGCAGGAACACATACATAGAATATGGATGAACATGGTACATTTGTTAATACAATGATTGCCTTATTCGGTATTTTGTAGGGGGACCCTCTTGTGAACTTCTTCAAATTGTCTTCTCATCGTTTAAAACTGGTCAATTTGAGAAACCCATTTCTTTCCTCAGTCCTGATCCAAAAGTTACCCAGAACCCACAACCCAGAACCCAAAACCCAGAACCCCCAATACTAATATGCATTCAGATTTCAAAACCCTGAACCCCTAAAATTCAAAATTTTGAGGCCTCCCAAAAAAAAAAATGTCTGCCTTATAAGAATGTTTGTTTGACAGGGCCCGGTGCCAAATCTGGACCCCCCCAAACCCAGAACCCAAACCATTGAAGTATTGCTTTTTTGAGGGTGTCCGAAAAAAATCTTATCTCTTTTCTCCATTTTTCTTGCCTTCTCCAAATTCTCCAATTGATAGAACCGAAAAAATGTCCCATCTGCTGGGTTTCACACATGTTTTTCATATGGAAACATCGTGTTTCCTATGGTATTTGCTGTGGCTCATGTTGTGCACTCCAAAATTCTACCCAAAATATTTCTACCCCAAATATTCTAAGTTTTTTCCCGTCGACACCCGAAGGGTTGAAAAAATGCATATTCTATGTAGGCGGCCATGCTTATATGTATATATATATATATAATTAGGTGTATATATATATATATATGTAATTATAGCATTTCCCAGCTGTTGCCCACTGGCTATATGCTTTTTGTATACATGTTCTACATATCCTATTGGTTCCTCAATGGCCAACCGGCTAACCCCTCCGTCACCCACTGCAGCTCCTGAACCTGCCCCAGCTTTTTGGGTAAGACATAGCCATGGACTTTTAAGCACAGACCCAAGTCCACATCCTGCCGGGACCCAATGGGACAATGAATGCGGCTGGCTGTGAGTCCCCTAAAGTTGGGCATCTCCCAGTCACAGCATGAAGCCTCGGCTTTCAACGGAAAAGCAGTCCTCAGCACCCTGGCCCAACCTGTGCACAAGGCTCAACCCCAGCCGTTTTACTTGTACATCTCAAGTAAAAAGGCGATGAAATCACTGATTTTTGGTCCAAATCTTTCAATAAAGACTGCCTTGTTGGAGTTCTATCCCATTTCGAGCTGAATATCTCCCATCTTGGCGAATCCCATCGCCCTGGGCTCGCCTTCTCCAAACAATGTCATCAAAGCAGGAGTTGAGCCAAGTCCTGGCCCCGTCTGTGCTTCAGGATCACTTTCTTGATGATTCCGGGGGATTTTTGTCCACATGACTTCAAAAGAAACGGTTCAAACATTTTTTACACGGATATGAAACATGTTCATTTATGAAGACTTTTATATTTTTTGGAAGTGCTGCCCATTTGTTGCCAAATGTCGAGCCATGACCCTTCATCAGAACGTTTATCCTGGCAAATGTGGGAGGATTTGAACCAACGGAACTTCATCCCCTGTCCAATGTCTAAATCAACAGCCAAAATGATATTGTCAGTGTGCTGGTGCATTCGTGAATGTTAGCAAGCATCTCCAGTTTGGATGGTTGAATCCAAGTTGCTGGCTAAGTCCCAATTGTTATGTTCATTCTGGGCAACTATCCATTGGAAGGATAGTAGAAGTCATGGGTCCCGCTTTGGCACCCAAGTTCTGGGCGGCAAAGATCCCATGTGAGTTTAGTCCCTGAAAAAATTAAACCAAAAAAGCTGATGGTGTTAATCGTCCTTTGGCCATATTCAAAAATGTGGGGTGCATATCTACAGCCTGGCGGCCTACCACCGTCCTGGCAGTGCTCAACAACTTGCCGCTGAGAACCTGAGCACATGGCCAGGGCCCCATGGGAACCAAGCTAAAGTGGTTGCCCTTGGCTTCAAATGATTATCGGGGGAAAAAAACAGGGAAACCATGGTCTTGCCATGTTTTGCCTGGCTTTTTGGGGTGTTTCTGCCAGTTTTCCCCTCAAGTCTGCGGTTCATCCCACAAGTCACTGCGTCAACTGTAGTCAAATGGGATTATCCTCCCAGGGCTGATGGCTGAGGACACGAACTGATGTGTTTGTCTGAACGTAGGGTACCCTGGAATCCAGCGTCTTGTAAATAGTAATGATTTGGGATATCCCCCATGCTTTCAGAAACCCATACCCATTACTTGTGGGTCAAGTCAAGTCAAATCCACCTTTTTATGGTGGTAAAAATCTCTGTTATCGCTTTCATGTTGGGATGACTTGATATCTGACGCCTTCCCATCAATCACTTCACGTGCCCATGACTCTGCTGAGGCAAAATCTCACCCATTGACATTGAATTTGGTCCATTTCAATGTTCGACTGGTGTTCTTCGTTTGAAGAAGCGCATGAGCCCATCCCCAAGTATTGTTTGCTTTCATATGTACATACAAAAAGTACATTTCAACCAGCCCAAAACGCTATCTAGTCCTTGTGGCTGGGGCTAAATTACCCCATCAGAAATCATCCGCACATCTGAAGACGAAAGAAGTTGGAAGCCTCCTAGCAGAACTATCTAAAAATAAATCCCAACCATTTGCCGGTTTCGGACGCCCAACTGGCCCAAGGCCTTCGGTGGCCAGTGAATATCTAACCCCGCAACACCCAGAGGTGCTCTTGTAAGGTGATCCAGTAATGACCCCTTCAAAATTGATCCCAAAATCAATCCAGGGGATTCGTTCGAAATTCGGAATATTTCGGGATGACATGGGCGCCTTCCCACAACGCCAGGTCCGCAACACAGCTGAGCTGCGATAGCATTCACTGCGAAGTGCATAGTGGAACCGCTGCCGCCATCCGTGAGGTGCGTGTGTTTGAGGGAACCCAGATATTGATCTTCTGACCTCGGTTTTGCCAGGGGTCATTGGACCTAAGTGCCTTCAACAGCGTTGATGCATCAGTGGTGCTGTGGATTTCAATCAATTCGCTAGCCCCATACTATCCCATCTCAAGACTATGGGCATTTCCAAAAGGACTCAAAATGTTTGGGCCCTTTCAGTACAAAAACCGTTTGTTTTTCGCCAAATTTGACCCCAAACTGCCAAGCTGCGCATTGAAGTAGCGCCGTAGCCGCTCCTCCAAAGCCCACAGGTTCAAGAAGGTATCCGCATCCACCTTTCCAAACAGGTCCCAAAGGGCCCAGCAAAGCACTTGCAATTAAAAGCTGCATTTCAGTTGCTCTTCTACGGGCGTTCTAAATTTGAGGCTTTGAATCTTGATGGATTTTGCTCATTTTCTAGCATTGAACAGCCCATCTTCAGGACATTCAAATGCGACCCACAGCTTCCCAGCGGAGAACCTTCACGAACCATCGGCAGTCAGAGACATGGTTTTCCTGAGCACCACAAAAAAGGTAGGATGCAAATGGGAAACCTACAGGAAACCATTGTAATACAGGGGTTCCTGCAGATGTTCAAACCAACGACCCAAAAAACGTAAAACATCTGGGTGAAATCAGGACGAGTCATCACCATGGAAACTCTTTGAAATCAAATTTCAATATGAACCTCCCCAAGAAAATCAATTTTTAATGGCTTTGTTGGAGATCCACAATTTCAAAATATTTCAAAGGCTTTGTTGTTGGGAAATGTTGGCTGGACATTGGATGATGGCCATATTTTCTCGGTTACCATCAGTTACCATCCCCAGCATCTTGGCTCCCCAACTGCCAGGTATCGCCAGAGTAGGAAGCTTCGCACCTAAATTCATGGCCGTGTTTCATGGGGAAAATGGTGAATGGTTTATAAATGGTATAGGTTTTAATACATGGGGTAATATTTATCACATGGGGTAATGTTTTGTAACTATAAAAGTCAGGTTTTCCCCTGAATGTTCAAACAAACCAATGGTTTTCAGGAAGCCCTGCAAGGATCTAGTACAGTGATATAAGGGGGGTTCCATAAATGGTGTACCCCAAATCTGGATGGTGTAGAATGGAAAGGCCGAGGCCTATTAAAAATTGATGATTTAGGGGTACCCCAATTTTGGGAAACCTCCATATAGCCTGATGTCAGCAATGAAGATAGGATAAGAACTGGAAGAACCCTCCAAGAAAAATACTGAAAACAGAACATATTATATAGGAACTGATGGATAGTCGCAAAATAATGATGATGATGATGATGATGATGATGATGATGCCGATGCCGATGCCGATGCCGATGCCGATGACCATGACCATGACCATGACCATGACCATGACCATGACCATGAGGATGAGGATGAGGATGAGGATGAGGATGATGATGATGATGATGATGATGATGATGGTGGTGATGATGATGATGATGCTGGTGGCGATGATGATGATGATGATGATGATGATGATCCTGATGATGATGATGATGATGATGATGATGATGATGATGATGATGATGATCCTGATAACGGTGATCATGGCGATCATGGTGATCATAGTGATCGCGGTGATCATGATGACACCCATAATTAAGCATGAATCCACAAAAAGAAGGAGAATGCTGCTGGAATGGAGGACCCTGGAAAGATCAAAGTGGTCAACAAATTAGCTCCAACTTGCTGCAAAGTGGCGGAATTGTAAAGAAACCCCAAATCCACGTTACCACGCAGTGTGAGCACGTCGTCGGCTTCTTCAGGACTGCCTGCTGTTGGCGTGGCATCGTGGTGCACAGTGGGGCATCATCCCAGTAGGGTGGGGGACAGCCGCCAGTTTACACTTCGAGACTGTTTTGGCAACTGACAGCGCATGGTGCGTCTTCAAAACTTGATTTAGCAAATGGATCTAGACCTAGAGTTCAGTCCCTGGGGATCCATGGCTAGCACCCAGCACCAAAGTGTAATCCCCATTCTAAAATACCGATTCTCACAATCCTCTTGGTGGCCATCAGAATCCCAACTCCAAAAACTCCAAAGGACTCAGGGCTTCTTCGGCTCTCAGGGCTTTCTGGCCAACACCACCTTGGTCATCCGTGCGATCATCTCAAAGGCCTCCACCTCCACGAAGCCGCTGTGCGTCAGGCGCTCTTCCACCAAGCGCGGCGTCAGGCCGAGGCCGTTGGGGTTCACCGTGACATGCTGCAGGGCCCAGTAGGCGCCCAGCGCGGGACCGTCCTTGGAATCATCCACCATGAAGTCGTGAACCACCAAGCGACCACCAGGCTTCAAGACTTTCAAGGCGTTCCTGGTGCCAAGATGTGTGTTAATATCAGTATAACTGGGGTTAATATGTGGGAATCGTCAGTTGTCACTGTATGGTTTTGTCTCAAAATAGAAAGCTTTACCATTTTACGACAAGTGTATATCAGAAAATGATGATGAACCATGGGAGTATTGGGGCCATACCAATCGGGAGTTGCTTTGATCTTCAAAGATCAGGTTTGATGCGGGTATGGGTCAAAATTGGACACCCCCGAATATGATCTGGAAAACCTACCTAAATCCCAAAAAGGTAGAATCTATACATCCAGATTACCATGTGCTAGAGACAGGTACGGTATGGCATCCGATATTTTCCAAGGATGTTCAGGGCCAGCTGTGGTGGTATAACATGGTATAACATGGTATAACTATCCTTTCCAGAGATGGGATAGGAAAAGAACCTCATTTGCGGTGTGTCGGACAAACCCCAACTCCAGAGTATCTTAGGCCTTCTTGGTTCTTTACAAATATCATCAATGCATGTATGACTCAAAATCGTTTCGGAACAGTTTCGGATAAACATGACCAGCCTTTTGTGGTCCCTTAAAGCTACCCTCGCCGACTTGCTGAGAGCTTCCGATAGAGGACTTCAATCAACTCTTCGGGCACGGAACCACAGAGGTATGACATCAACACCAAGTCTTGGCTCAGTTCCTGGATGGGCCAGGAAGGCTCGGTGGCATCCAACTCGACGAAGCGGATCCGCCTTCTCTCCTCGTGTTGGATGCTTGTTTGGAATGCCCGATTTTGGAAGTCAGAAAAGATTTCATCCATGATGAAATCTCACACTAAAAGCACTCGTGTCACATCATTCCTAAAGGTGTTTCCATGTACAAGGGAAGATGCCTCTTGAAGCTCCCCAGCTTTATCATAGGACTGGGCCTTGAAACCAGGATGCTGGACGGCATGGCCTATGATCTTGTGCTACCATGGGCTGTCTTTCAATGCATCGCCAATCTTTCGAATGTAGTAACAAGCAATGAACTGAACGTCCATGGTTTTCTACGTACGACGTTATGGCCAACAAACATTCATGGCATTCCACATCATTCCATCCTACTCTGAACCACCGTCCGCATGCCAATCTCCTGCTCTGAGGCCTGTGTAAGCATCAGACTTTGACCTTCCTCACAGACCTTTGGCAACTCCAGCACAATTGACTTCAGTTCCTGGTCTCCCATGCGCACGGCTTGAAGGGAAAATGCACCACTGCCACCGCCCACATCCAACATCTGCCGGATGCCCTTCAAAGGGACACGTTTGAAAAGGGCCTTGGCCGTGGCAAGGCTGCCATTGTGCTGAGCTTGTGTGTAGGTTGAAGCCACAGATGGATCGGAAAACCAGCTGCAGTAGTTCAGGTGTTCCTCTCCTCTCAGAATCGGAACCAGCTTTCCCATCCGACCATAGAACAATCTTCCAATCTGATACTTCAGATAGTCTCCGTAGTACGCTTTGGACGAGGACACCATGAATTTCTGCACGTTGGGCGAGTTCCGGTAACCCAGCCGCCCAGGCCCCTCCGTCAGCCGCAAACAGCGGGAGGCCACCAAGGCGGTCAGCAGCGTCTGCAGGCGGTTCTGTGGCACCTGGCAGGTGGCTGCCAGCTCCTCAACGGTGAGCTCCTTCTCCGACAAGGCATCGAAGATACCCAACCTGCCCCAAGGAGTTTGGGACTGGCAAAGGTTGCAAAACTTCATGTTGCAAAATTCAGAAATTGTAGTTCCTGGATGATGATGAACTAGTTTTTTCCAACCTCCCAAAGAATCACACCATCTTCTGACGGTAGAAAAAAGTTGCCCCCTGCCAACAAAAGAAACAATCCAATCTTAGATCTGCCAGCGACTCCAGTGCTGCGAAGAGGGCTGAGGAGGCCATAAAACCATAAGCCAAGTTGTCCAAATCGACATCCTCTGTTGACGCCACCAGCTGTTGCGTCAACACCTTCACCCGGCGGCCGTGAATGCTCATGGTGACGAGCAGCCAAGGGTGTAGACAGATGAATCATCAACACATGTTGTGATCGTTTGTGATCGTTTGAATCAAGCCAACCGATGAAGCCTAGAAACAAGGCCTGTGGGAAGTTCCAAGTCCAGGAGAACTCTGGTGGCACACGTCAATGAAGTCATCAGAATGATTGACTCTAAAATGCAGGCTGCAGGTCCAGCTTTCGTGGTGAGGTGAGATCTCTTAGGTGTCATGATTCATGTTTCTTCTTGATCAATGCGAGCCGACAGCTGCACGCCCATAGAAGTTTCACACCAGCTTGATCAGCTGGGCGTCGGACCAAGGGTCGGAAATCTTAGAGTCTTAGAAGATCTCTGGATATGTTCAATCGCAAAGCGGTTCCAGCCAGGACTGCCGCGTAGTGTGGTAAACCGAATCTTTCAAAATTAAGCCATATCTGGGTAGGGCTCCTTTTCGGGGGCTCAAGATTTTTGGACTTAGCAAACTCTTTTTGCCATGACTGGGAAGAACTGTTAACCCATCTCCCCATTGTCAACTCCCGCCTGTGAGGTCCTCCAAGGCCCAGGAATTGTCCTTCACCATGAAGACCTCAACGCCTGGCCATGGCACATATCATATGTCAAACCATATATCATAATATGTATATATACATATACATATATATATATTGTGTATATATATGGTACCCCCCCTGAGATCTACCTCAGAGCATTTTGATATATTGTCTCTACATGTATATATATATAATATATTTATATATTTATGTGCATATATGTATAAGAGTCAGTTATTTCTTTAAGATGTCTTGTGGGTAGTAGCTGTGCACACTATCAAAACAAGTTGGAAACAAAAAAACAATATTTGACGACTCTTTGGGAGAGAATCCATGGGGAAAACCCAAAAAAACAAAAAACCTCGAGAAAACCAACAAAAAACAATATTTGGAGACTCTTTGGGAAAGCCCCATCGACAAAATCAAAAAAAACTCGAGAAAACCAAAAAAAACAAAAAAACAAAACTTTTCAGAGAATGTTTGGTCAGAGGCTCATGTTTGTTCTTTTTTGGTTTTGCCTAGGTTTTTTTGGTTTTTTTGGTCTTGACCTTGAAAAAACTAAAAAAACTCAAGGTTTTTTTTTTGGATCAAATGATCGTTAAAGAATTGTGAAAAACCAAAAAAATCAAGGGTTTTTTTGGTTTTTGGGTGTTGGTGGCTTTAGTTTCTTTTTGGCTGCGCAATGAAAAACAAAAAAACTTGAGTTTTGTTGTTTTTCACAATTCTTTAACCATCATTTTATCCCAAAAAACAAAAAAAAAACTTGAGTTTTTTTAGTTTTTTCAAGGTCAAGACCAAAAAAAACAAAAAAAACTAGGCAAAACCAAAAAACAAACATGAGCCTCAGACCAAACATTCTCTGAAAAGTTTTGTTTTTTTTTGTTTTCTCGAGGTTTTGGTTATTTTGTGTTTCCTAAGATTCAACCCAAATCAAGAAAACTCTAAGTATAAAGTAAGACAGCTGAGGAGCTAGCTATGAAATATCCAGAGAGCAAATAGAGGAGAGCTGCGGAATGAGAAAGGAACTGCCAGGGAATGCCTACAGCTCACAGTAGAGACATGAATGAGTTTGACCATGTATGTCTCTTGAAGGGCACCAAAAGTAGATCCACATCTGCTCACAAAATTTCAAGTGATCAAACACACTGCACACTTAATTGAAGTGTGCATTGAGTTTGATCATGTCTGGTGAACTCACTGCACACTTAACTGAAGTGTGCAGTGAGTTTGACCATATCTGGTGAACTTGCTGCACCCTTTCTTGAAGTGTGCACTGAGTTTGACCATGTACGTCTCCAGAAGAGCATCAAAAGTAGATCTTAGGGGGTAGCATATATATATATATATACATATATATATATATACATACATACATACATACATACATTGTACAAATATTATGCATCATACAAGTATGCAAATGCATATGATAGCGAATACATACGCATCATAGCACATGGAGATACACATACAGCAAATATCACACGAGCCATGCCTGCAGGACGCGGCTGTTTTGCCCAGGTAGAATAGATGGCGCGCGCCTTGACAGCAAATTCAATGCCAATTACCCACACGTACCCACTTGTAGTCAAGCAGGCAACAGAAAATCCAAGTCATCTATATGAGCATGGGTAAATCATCAGTAATCTAAAGATCTGGGAAAAACAATATATTCAATGGGAAAAACATCTTTATGTTAGAAGTACGAATGTACATAAATGTGTCACTTTCCATTGCCAGGTTCGATTGCCAGGGTGCAACCACAGTTGAAGGAGGGAACCCTAAGGGACCAACCAGTGTCATATCCACTGCCGTGAAGCCCAGCAGGGATTGGTTCTATCATCCTCATCCCCTAAAAACTGGTTGGAATTGGCTATAAAGCCAATGACAATCTGAGAATTTGCTAATCTGGGGGTCTCTGCTACTAACATGGTAACCCCAGAAAGACATCCGGAGTAGTCCCCACGCATCCGAGCAGCATCGGCTCGGTGTTTCTCTGAAGCGCTGGTGGTGAGTACGAAGACCTGGCTTCCCAGTCTCTTTGAGGGCCAGGAAACCAAAGGTTCTGGAGGTATACCACTGTTTGTTCATATGTGTTCCATGAATTCTTGACCTACCGGCCTTCTCTTATAAAGCCAATGTTGGAAAGACACATCTATCACTGTTGCAAGTCCAAGTGGGCCAATTGGTAGCACATATGGCGTATCATGATGTTGACTTAAACACCCAAAACCCAGTGTCTTCACTCCTGAACCCAAGGTAATCCTGACCAGGTGCCAGGTAGCTTGATCCATTTGCACAAACAGACTCCATGATTTTGGGATCTGAAAATTCACCCGTTTTTGACGGGCTCACTTTGACCCACGGCCAATTCATGAATGTCGACCACCAAAGAATGCTCTACTAGGGTTTGATCATCGGGTCTTCCTACTCCAAATGGTAACTGGGTAAAGCTGGATCAATTCCACATGACTCCAAAATGGTCATATGTCATCAATGTCAACAATAAATGACTTCCAAACATCATTAAATGATACCCAATACCTCAGTATTAATGGGGGGTCTTAACTAATATTAACTGGGCCCTCATCCCCATGGGCCACTGCCGAGAAGCACAGACTTCATGGCCCTGGCGCAGTCGATCGAAGACCTTACCCTGCCCAGCTGGGACATCGATCCACTCCTGGCAGTTTTTGGGGAAAGAAGTAACCACCAAAAAGATAGAAACTTTAAAAAATACCTACCACAAGAGTGATATCTGACTGTTCGTTCTTTTTTGAGATTGCGAAAGATGACTCTAGGTGTTTATATATGTGTATATATATATATATTAATATATATATATACATAAGTAAAAAGAGTGGGTCATCACTTGATCGAAACAACATTAAAGTACGATGGAAGTTGCGGTGGTCACACCCAGGTTGAGAGAGCTATCTCAGCCTCTCCCAGCTATCCCCGCTCTCCTTTGCCAGTGCCTGTGGTGCAGACAGCATATGCTGCTCAGGAATATGACCTTGGGCTGTGGTTTCAATTGGGCTCGACTTCAACTTGGAAAAATATTGTAGATTAATTAATTATATGTTTAATTCAATCTGAATCACTATGAATTATCAGATTAACAGTGATGAATATCCTCTCAGTCTCATTCGAGTCTAGGTTTCGGTAGCATGATTGTCATGAGGAGAGGTAAATCTGTGGTGAAACGATTTGTCTAGTTAAGTTGTTTTTTGGAATCCATGAATGACCAGGTTTGATTGCTTGGACAACGAAGCAAAATACAATTTCTGGATATTGGATGAAATCTTGCAGCGGTTGTTTTCTTTTGTTTTGTCTCTCTTTATCGCAAGTGCCACTTGGAGACATTTGTCACACTGGCACCATGGCAAACAGATGTGTCTGAAAAGAAGACACTCCCCACACTCCAGTGGCTTAATGATCATCATTTCCCCGTTCAAATTGCCATGTGGGACATCAGCCCACTTTTCGACAAACCCAAACTTGCTTTGAGTTTCCAGCTGCTGGAACGCCAATGGGCATAAGCCCGGGAAAGGAAACAGTCCTGGACACGGTCGTTCTTGTGACTGGGATTGGAAATTCTCACTATTCCTTTGCTGGTTTCATGGTCAAATTAAGATACCCTGCATCTCTTTGGTTGCTTAGCGTATTATATATAAATAAATAAAAATGTATGTAGTATAAATACATATTATGTTTACACACACACATGTACATATATAAACACATATACACATATACACATATGCACATATACACATACATACATATATACATATACACATATACACATACACACATACACATATACACATATACACATATATATACACATATATATACACATATATATACACATATATATACACATATACACATATATATACACATATACAATGTACAATATACTATATACTATAATATATATATATATACTATACACATATACATATACAAAAAAAATATAGATATAGATACAGATACAGATATGGATATACTTAAACATATATACTACATACACATACACATTTACATATACATACACATACACATATACATATACATGTAATATACCTTTACATATACATATACATAAACATATACATAAACATATACATCAACATATACATAAACATACACATACACAAATTAAATAAACATGTACATGCACATATTATAACATCAACATCAAAATCAACAGCAACATATACATATATGCATATATGCATATACACACATATACATATATACATATATACATATACATACATACATACATACATACATACATACATACATACATACATACATACATACATACATACATACATACATACATACATACATACATACATCTAGCTGTGGGATTCACATCTATAGCAAAATATTCAGTTGTACTAAACCCTTTTCCATCCAGTTGGACCCTAAAACCCTGCTCCTTCAGGGCGCCTTGCACGCGAGGTTCTAAGACGGAGCGTCGCAAAGGGCCAGTGCCATGCTTGAGGTCGGTGCGTACCATGCCACTGGCAAAACATGCCTGGGGCTGATGGAATGACCCTGCTGGGTCACCAGAGGGGTACCCAAAAAAGATAGGAAAAGATATGGAAAGATAGGAAAATGATGGGTGTTGTGAAGGTTGTGAAGTTTTAGATGCCAAAACGGCCAAAACCCAGCTGAGAAAAAATGATTTCCCACTAAACTTTTGGGTTTTTGCGGGTATTTCAGATTCCCAAACGGTTTGTGAAAAGAATCTAAGCAACCCACAGTGGGATGGTGACCCAAAAGGTTCTCATCTGGGTACGGGATAAGGTTGCTTCGCGGAAAATGGCGGATGGTGAACCAACACCATGTTTGAGGCAATCACATGAAGTGGAATTTCCAACTTTGGGAGTATTCCAATAAAAAACAAAACAAACAACGGTGGCTTCAGTTTGAAAAGGGACACCTAGATGGAACTGATTGAAAAAGAGCAGATGTTCGTGATCTCATGAGCCCAAAGACAAGCGACAACCCCGGGATGCCAGCGTTCGCCCTTGGAAATGAGCCTGTGGACCTCCTTCATGTCCTCGAAAACATGGGCCAGGGGACCATGGACCGGTCATTCTTGGTGACAATACCATTTTTGGGTACCCAATGTTTGAAGATGTTTGAGACATACTTTGGTCAGGAAATGTTGCACCTTGGAACATCACCTACGCCGCTCAAAAAACGTGGCCCAAAATGACCCCAGTTGAAAGCCCTAACTGGTGCCCCCGAATCACCCAAAAACGGTCCTTGGGAGCAAGGCCAGACAGGATCATCAAGCACTTCCTGAAGTGAAGATATCCCAGAGTTGGCTAGGTTAGTCACGGTTAGTCGGTTAGTCAAACCAACCAACATCTGATTTCTGCGGCCAATGATCAACCCTCAACGATGGGCATGCCAATAACAATTGGGAACAGAACCTAGAACCAACCTTTGGGAATGGCGGGAGGTTGCATCCCATTTTAAAAAAAATGTATCCTCCAGAATGAAATATGGACATCTACTGGGGATCTTCTCCCAGTATAGCTCAGGACGGAGAAACCCAAAACTTTTATAATGTAGATCAGTCCATTGGGCTGCTGCGATTATCTTCCCCAACAGGCAGTGCAAAACTGCCATACCAAATGATGTGCGAACTATTAATTAAAATGATTGATTTTGTATTAGAGCATACTTGTGAAAACTTCTGGATGCTTCTGGGTTCTGCACTTCAGAGACACATGTCACATATCCGTGCAAGATCGTGCAAGCATGTAGATAAGACCCCAACTCTCGAGTATGGCTAGGCCTGGCTAGGCTTCAAATCGAGATCACCGATTTGATGATTAAATTGGAGCACTGGTGTCTTTCACAAGTTCTATGCAGAATCTTTGGATAAAGGTGACCGTCATCTTGTTCCAGATCAACTCCATCTCCAGCATCATCGTCATCGTCGTCATCAACGACGTCGTCATCGTCATCGTCATCGTCATCATCATCATCATCATCATCATTTTATTCTTCTTCTTCTTCTTCATCATGTTCATCTTTCACAAGTTTGGTTCTGCTGTTGAAAAAGTGAAAGACCTCAAAGTTGTGTGTGTGTGTGCTTGTCATGCAGGCTTTCCATGCAGGCTAACTTGAAGTGGCTATCAGATATCAGCAAGTTGGGATTTCGTGGCTTCTGTCCAGACACCTGAACAGCATGTTGCAACCAGGCATCATCAAGCTCAGCTGCTGTTTGTCCAGGTATTCTCTTGCGATCCTGCCAAGACCAAGCCCTCTCGGAAACTTTCATCTGAATGATTCTGACGCACAAAATGGGAAAAGTTTTGAGAGGTGAAGGTTCAAAAAAATAGGGCACCACGAAATCCATTGGCAATCATTGTGTTGCTTGTTAAAACGCCTTTTTGGGGGTTAATCCCCCCTTTTCAGACAGACCCAAATCAAGATCCACTTGCGCGTGCCGACACCTCAGCCAAGAAGTCAAGGGTTCTTCCTATCATCTACTGCTGAGCAAGTCCGCCACGTAAGGGCCGCGCTCAAAATTTGTTACCAGTAGAACTACACTGAACTACGTGTCTGGTCACGTTGAGTACTAAACATCCAAATTTGAGACTGTTAAATTCAATATTATATCCACCTAGCCAAGAATTTCTAGGAATACTACTAAATACTACGTGATTTTTGTAAACACTGAAAAAACGCCACGAAATCACTGGTCATATCCACCATATTCTGTGTGAGCCTTGCTGAGACAAGCAAGCCCCCAGGCCTGGCAAAAGCCTTGCTGAAGCGCCCAGAAGCGTCCAGCTTCAGGTCCTGCAGATTTTCCATGATTTTCCCTTCAACCAATGTGATACTTGTGTTTGACTTGTCGGCCGGCAACTTGGATATGGTGGTTTCTGATTGATTTTATAGTTGATATAACTAATTGGATAGTGTAATCCTTGGTTATATCAAGTTGAAACAAGGATGACAAGGAACGGTTTCTTTGATCGGTTTTTACACCAAAATATATAAGCTGGATATTGATCCCATCTCCCATGAATTCTCCTCCACAAGCACTTCATTGGGATCCATGAAGGATGCCAACTCCACGTTGTGCTGAGAAAGGCAGTAGCCCAGCACTATGTCCTACTCAGGTCGTTGCCAGACCGCCAGACCAGTCAGGGCTGCTTACCCTGATTATTTCACAAAGCTATGGAAGCCATGGCCCATTCATAGATGATTTATGATGATTTACCTTTTAAGAATAGCCAGAGGGTAACGAAACTAAAAGTGTTTCACGACTGTGGTGAAGCGGGATTGCTATGGTGACCCACGAAGCACAACCATCATTTCGGCCACTGCCTGGGCGATCCCAGTTGCAACGCAATAATCAGAGGAACAAACTGTTCACTCCGTTGGAGAGGGCCATCTCTATGCTTCACGTTCAACTTCAGGTGTTCTGTCTGAAGAGACACGCCTAGTTCGCTTCAAAGAAAACATGCCCTGCCTCCCCGAACTTTGCGAGTTGCTGCACTTCAGCCTGTGCTCCACACCATTCTAGCCTGATGTCCATCAAATGTTGGGTGGAAATGGATAGGAAGGTCACCTGCCATTCTTACCATGGTGATTCTTTGAACAATCCTCCGGAAAGTGGTGTGTTTTCTTTTCTGGATTCTGACACCTAAATGATTTTCTGATCTGCTGTGTTTATTTTGGTTCCAGCCTCTATGTTCCATATCATCCGTGGGATGGTTTCAGATCCCAAATTCCACCCAGAAAAATTCTGGGTCCGCAATGAGGGTCGAATCACTGGTAAGTCCCCATACATGTTAAAACAGTTTTCCCATATCAAAACATGTTAAAACTCACCATCCTCGGATGAGACCCAGCGGCATGGTGGGCAGCTGGTGCAGGAGGCTACGGCGGAGGATGATCCCAGCCCTTTCGTCGGCCACGGGAAGCTGAGGAGCGTCCATAGGCAGCTCCTAGAGTTGGGCAAGGGCTGGGAATCCTACCAAAATCATCCAATAACAAATGGGATTCTATTGGAATTATATGGAACTATGTGGAAATATGGTGATTAATGGCTAATATGGTTATTATCATATTGTTATTGGGGTTCCAAATTGTGTTTTTTTTCTTGAGTAGATATGCATGTTTGCTTTTGTTCGGCGAGAATGGCACATGGTGGGTGAACAAGGCCATGTCCAAGTTTCATCAGGGTGAAAATCTCGAGATGACACTCATTTAGAGGATTACTTGCAAGTGCCGAACAGATACTTCTATGAAACTATGTTGTTTGACTATTGATGGGATATTAGGGGACATTAATCTAGTCTCACGCCGAAGTTTCATTTATTGGTCATTAGAACTTGGTCCTTCCAAAATTTTCTCATAACCCCGTGCCGGAGTTGTGGAGTGTTTCTGACATTGAGTTTCATGACCCAGCGTCGTGAGGGTCTTCCTGACACTGCATGATACACTGCTCTCTCTCTCTCTCCATATTGTGCATGTGCTTGTCATTCTTTGGAGTCATTTCCGAGGATAGACATCAAGTGGCACTCCTTGCGAAGAAAACCCAGGTACTTCAGGGACGGGTCACCCAGAAAGCATTGCAGCCGGGTCCTGTCAATCTCCCCTTTCCAGCTTTCCATGGACTTTGGACGGTTAAGGAGAACCCCCCATAAATTCCCCTTGCAGATTTCATATGAAGCCATACAAACTTTATTTTGCGGAGCTATGAGTGCTTACCACCTTAGGAAAAACCACGTTCATTCAAGTGAAGGTACAAATGAAACTCCTGCTCGTCATCTCATGGAAGAAAATTGATTTAAGAGTTACTGTAATTATTCTCAGATAAATCGGGTTTCAATCCTTTTATTAGATTATCATCAGTGTGTAGTTGGACCATGGACTTTTTATTTGCCCGTGTCTTATTACATTTTGCTTGTTTTCGCACGTGGTGGGGTGGAGTGGGGTGGTGGGGTCGGATTATACATGCCTGGGTGGCGCGGGGTCGAGGTCAGGGTCGGTGGGATCGGGTGGGGTGGGGTGTGCGGGTGAGGTGGGGTGGGATGGGATGGTGTGGGTGGGGCATGAAAAGGAATTAACTCTGGATTTACTACCCGAAAAAGAAACAGAACACCATTCAAAGGAACTGACTCTGGATTCAACTCCACAAAAAAAAGACCAAACACCATTGAAAGAAATGAAGTCTGGATTTAACTTTCCAAAAAATAGACCAGACACCACACAAAGCAATTAACTCTGTATTTAATTCACCAAAAAGGAGAGAAACGCCATCCACACTTGGTGTCTTCCAAACCGAGCACTCATCATCCACATATGATCTGCATGGTATTTCCCTGACCAGCGCCTCACCAATTTCAGATGGACGTAGGACGAGCTGGGAACCTTTTGTCACAAGGCGTGCTTCGGCAGGTTGGTCGAGTGAGTGATGCATGTGAAAGAAGTCTTGCAGTAATGATATGGACAGTAATTTTTCTACTCTGCAATTGGTGGTTTCTTGAACTCAAACCTACATACAGTATATGATAGTTCATTGTGTGTGTGCTCTTTCATCATGAAACGAAATGTTGATTCCCCAAGCCATGATGCTGTAATCCCCGACCCCAACTGGTTCAGGAGTAGGGGGGGTGGATCCTACATTTCTGATAATGTATGAACATAAGGGGGGGGTTAACCCCCTCACTTTTTGCCAAAAATGTATGGGAACTAGGGGGGGGGTAACCCCTCAAAATGAGGCATGTATGAGTGCCAGATGCTGGAAATGTATTATTGGTAGGGGTATTGAACCTGAAAATGTATGCTTTGTGGGGGGCACCACTGACAAGAGCCAATGGATACATAAACTTTTCTAAATGTATGCAAGCATGGGGGGGTCTGCACCTCAATCCAATTGATCTTTTTTTCCTGGGAAACCTACTGAAACCCATGGGCCATAAAATGGCTGAAATATCCCCCTTTGAATTAAGTGAGAGTGTTGGTGTTGACAATTTTATAATGATAATCCGGGAGGCCCTGACCCTCTTTCTGAAAATGCATCTATAGAATCAGAGACCCCAAAGTATTTTCAAGTTGACAATCTCTATAGAATCGATGCCGCCAAGTCACTCTCGTAGATGGTTGGGGGGGTTAGTTGGCCTTCTATAAAATCAGGTTCCCCAAGTCTCCTTCATTGACAGCTGACCTGAATGCTCCAGTTACTCTTGCCTAGCTTGCCTTATGCACTCCCAAATTTATAGAGTTCAAAGGCTCCAAGTGTTCACTGTCAACCCCTTCAATTTCAAAGATCTTGAAAGTTTCATGTTGTATCCATCTGTTTCCATCCGTTTGCTCTTTTTTAGCGGAAAGGCGGAAAGGCTGGCTCGAGGACTTCGACCCAAAAACGGTGAGACACACTGGGGAGACACAACGGGGAGAAAGAAAGGGGAGACACAACGGGGAGACACAACGGAAAAATGATGCAAAATGAAAAATGTCGCTTTTATAGTTTGTAAACAAGAAAAAGCTGCTTTTGTGAGATATTGAAATGTCAAAATTGTACATATTTGCTGAATATAACTGATGATAACTGATGAAACCCTGATGAAAGATCTCCAACAAATCTCCAATATATCCCAAAAGTATCCAAAAGTTTCCAAAAATATGTCAAGATTCCAAATGATTCCAAAATATACAAGGATGATCAAGGATGATGAAGGATGATGAAAGAATTGTTGTCGGAAATTGGTTCTGCCAATGCTTCTCTATAAAATTGAAGAACATGACATACATCCAAAGAGAACGTATCCCACTGTAGAATCGCAGTCCCTAAGACTCTCTGCTGACTAGTCCTCAGTGCTGTATTCAACATGAAATCTCTATAGAATTAGAGGCCCCAAGGTCCTCTATAAAATTGAAACCGTTGACACTAAGCGTTGACACTGGGTAGGTACCCCTTATTAAGTCAGGGGGTTAAAATGCACCATTTTCCAGGAAGTAACGTTCCCGATTCTGTAGAGGAAATTCCAAGGGGGATGCTGAATATACTTGATCTTAAATATTCTGAAATGTATGCATTGCAGGGGGTACCAATGACTACCTTAGCCAGATCTATTCCCTCCATTTTCCAAAAATGATGTGCTTTTCGGCTACCCAACCCCCTTAAAATACATTTTTCAAAGAAGGGTATTCCCAGAAAAAAATTAAGCATTCCCGGGGATCCTGGAAAAACCAAACCCGTAAAATGTATTAAACCACCCCCCCAAAATAAAAGATCCTGGGGGGGGTTGGATATCCCGACCCATGGATCCTACATTTAACGTACACCCACCGGTCAAATAATGTATTTAGGGGGGGTCCTGGGGAATCAAATTCTTGGAGAACGGTAAATGTATTTTTTTTCCCCAACCTCTCCCCCCCCTAAAATACATTTTTAGGGGTGGGTGATATGCTGTAGCGACTTGCTGAATTCAGACAACTTCAACAGAAAACCTGAACAGATAGGCTCCAACATTTGGGGTCAAGTAGTGGTGAGCACTCCCCGCCTTCAGGACCCATTCACAGCTTTGGGGTAGCCCTTGCAGCGCCCAATGCCACACACGCAGCGACAAAGGCAAGGTATCAGCGCCTGCTGTGGGTATCCTCGGCCAACGGAAGTCCCCCAGTGGTGTTCATCAAGCCGTTGGTGTCATCCCCAGGCCTTAGGCCCTTGCTGACATGCAATTGTAATGCGAATTGCTATGCGGCAGCATGGCCATTTTCAACAGCAGTATGTGAAATAGCAGCTTCCATGGGGCACAACTCTAGCTATTATCTTAGAGATTTTTTTTGGAGAATGGGTCAAAACTATCAGGTCCCTTTAATATGCTTTTCGTTATGTTATAAGTAAGTATATTTCTCCCAAAAATGACCAAAAAAAGCTTCGGTGGTATCCCCAACAGTCGCAACGTTTTATATTTACAATTTTTTCTCAACCTTCTCCGGACCCGTTGAACCTGACTTGGCTTTGCACCATGGTTTCCTGGAACCTTCTGCGGAACCTTCTCCGGAACCCTGTTGAACCCCACCTGGCTCTGCACCAAACCCTCCCAGACCTTCTCCGGAACCTTCTCCGGAACCTTCTCCAGAACCTTCTCCGGAACCTTCTCCGGAGCCCTGTTGAACCTGACCTGGCTCAGCACCAAACCCTCCCGGAACCTTTTCCGGAACTCCGGAACCCCTTGAATCTGACTTGGCTTCGCACCAAAGATTTCCAAAACCTTCTCCGGAACCTTCTCCGGAACCCTGTTGAACTTGACCTGGCTCTGCACCAAAGCCTCCCAGGCCTTTTCTCCGGAACCCTGTTGAACCTGACCTGGCTCTGAACCAAAGCCTCCCACAATTTGTCCGGAACCTGTTGAGCCTGACCTGGCTCTGCACCAAAGCCTCCCAGAACCTTCTCCGGAACCTTCTTGGGAACCCTTTTGAACCTGACCTGGCTTTGCACCAAAGCCTCCGAGACCTTCTCCGGAACCTTCTCTGGAACGCTGTTGAACCTGGCCAGGCTCTACACCAAAGCCTCCCAGACCTTCTCCGGAACCCTGTTGAACCTGACCTGGCTCTGCACCAAAGCCTCCCGGACGGAACCTTCTCCGGAACCCTGTTGAACCTGATCCGGAACCTTTTCGGAACCTCGTTGAACCTGACCCGGCGCCCGCACCAGTGCACACCGGAGCTATTCTCTGCTAAAGACCCCATTAGCTTACGCTTTTGGGGAATGACAGGTACAATTAACTTACCAAATGTTACAACCATCCCTTTCATGCTGGTATAAACTCAGCATGACAAAAAAACTGTGGATCCTCTACCAGCACTTGGATCACCCGCGCGCCTTGGCAGTGTTTCTGGCCTCACAAAGCGAACTGCCAGCGTCTTGTTGTCTTTGAGCCAAGTCACACGGGCGGCCTCGGGGTACCCGTGGAACACATTGGGC